ACAGGGCTTGTGGATGCGGCTGGGTGGTGACTGGACCCAGGTCTCCTGGTTCGCTCACCCTGAGGAGCACCTGCACCTCAGAGTGGGCCCAAACAGGATGGCTCTGGTGACACAGCATCTCTGTAGAGACCCTCTGGGCGTTCCGGTGGGGAAGGAGAGGCCTCCCACCACCCACCTTCAGCTCCTGTGCGGACGGCTCCTGGCCCAGCTCCCTGGCGCTGTGAATGATCAGACCCAGGGCGTCGCCCGGCTCCACCGCCGCGTCCTCGTGAAGCTTCTCTGCAATGGCCGCCTCCAGGTGCTGGTGCAGCTGGTCCCTGGCCCGGATGCCCTGATGTGCAGGGAGAGGGGGAACTCGGGGCAGGAAGGCTCGGAGCCAGGCCTGGCCACCCACCCAGGAGCCTTCCCAGCTCTGGCCCTGCGGAGATCCCGAGGCACACACCCACCCCACTCAGCTCCACGCCTGGCGGGAAGCTGCGCCCAGTAAACGGCTAGGACTGTGTCCACTGGCCACAAACATCATTCTGTCCTGACTGTCACGAGCTCCCTCAGCGGCGAGGAAGAGAGTTACTGCCGTCCCGAGGGGCGGATGCTGAGGCTCAGAGGCCAAGCGACTGCCCTGTGTCACACAGCTGTCGTTGCCCACGCCCTGCACAGAGGCCGGTCCGACTGGGGTCAGCCCGCTGCCCTCTCCCTGCCTGAGGCTCAGGCTGGGCCGGTGGGCACCGATGCAGAGGGGAAGGGGCCCCGTGATGCACCCAGGAAAGCTCCGACTTAGAGGACAGGACGCGTCAGCTGTGTCCGATGTCTCCCCCACCCCTTTCCAAAAGCATCAGCCGTTGGAAAGGGGCGGGCAAGAGGGCAGGATTCCTCCCCAGAGTTCGGGGGACGAGCACAGCAAAAGCACCCCCTGGGGAAGTCCTGTCATTGAGCAACTGGAATTTTGTAGCCAGAAGAAACTGGGTTCAAATTCTGTCTTCCCCTGCTAGCTGGCCGTGATCTTGGATAGGTCATTTAGCGTCGGAGCCGGCCTCACCAATAAAACGAGAACAACAGCGCTTTGCAGGCTGCGAGGATCAAGTCGGGAACGTCCCCAGCCCACAGCAAGACCCTTTATCCGCACTCATCGCGTTTCGACAGCGCGGAGTCCCAGGCCAGGGGACAGGAAGGCGGGAGGGGCCTCCTAAACTCCCTCGGGTCCCTCCCGCCGCTCCGAAGTGTGACGGGCCGCGGTCTCGGACCCGAAACTGGCG